AAATTTTCCACGCTACCCACCCTCAACGTGTTGGGTAGATCAAATTGAAATTCAAACCGTGTAGATTCAAGTTAAAGAAGCAAGGATGACAAATGAAATCAATTATTACAGCGAAATGTATGAAGTAAACGGTCTTCGGTACGATGTAATAGAGAGTGCAGAGGTGCATAAAATGCAACAAAATGATACGTTATTTCGAAAAGCATAATTAACCTTAATCTAATGTATTCTATCTTCCTAATATAGACCGAAAAATTAATAACAAATAAATAACGAAGTTAGTATGAACATGAGTGTTTTTTTTTTTCAGACGTTACATTCTGTTAGGATTATTTTTCTATAGAAGTTGTTGGTGTACGTAACGAAAAGATGGAAAATCCTTCAGGTAATGAAGTAGCTGAAATAATACACGACGTACATGTACCGTAAGCACTGACTGCTAATATAATTAATATAATTAATATAATTATATTAGCAGTCAGTGCTATAAGGAGGTTAGGTTGCACAACCCTGGATGCCGGCATATTACGATCACTGAACAGTCCATTCAGCAGAAAATCGCAACATGTTCCCAACTCATCGGAAACCGCTTTTCTCCTCCGAATGCACCCATTAACAAATTATCAGCGATCCGGTCTGCATGTCGTAGGTCATGCCCTAGGACCCAATCCTGATATCGGCGTAACACGCAACCGCATTCTCGGGATTATGGTGCAAAGGATGGCAGATAAGGTTGGAGGACTCTCCCTATGGGGTCAGGCCAGGTCCTCGTACGTGGTCTCCGAGTAAAATGGCCCCTAAGGTTAAGGGAGAAATAAGAAGCGCGCCCAAGATAGGACCAGTTGCCAAGTTAAATGGCTCGTGAACGATAGTTGGGAATTGTTGTTTCGGTCTCGCTCTAAATACCATCGGAGATGCACTTCCTGGCGCGACGTCGTCTCCTCGAATGCATGCACTCGCGGTCGGGCCGGTTCCGCGAGCCGAGCCCGCCGTTTTCTAGGTTATGGGACCTCGGTTAAAGGCTGGAGGTGGGAACTCGGAGTTTCGTAGCTCGGCCTCGCTGACTCACCGAGAGAAACGCTCGATTTATTAAGGATAACCTTGCCACCGCTTCCTAGTATCCAATATCCTACCGAGCGTTCGCGGCCTGGTTAATATAGTCCCGGCTAGAAGTGCACATTGCGATTCTCGGGCATAATGCAATTCTAACGGCGACGTGACGGTTATGTTACATCGCGGCATAATGGAGAAGTGCAAGTACGACACGCCGTGATTCACTGCCGGCGGATTTCCTTCTGCCAACGTAATGCGGCATAAACAAGCAAACAACGCGTAAATGCATGCCGGTGCACTTGCGATGCACCCTGCACGCACCCGGGCACCCTGTCGCGTGCGTTAGGTCGATGTGGATCTCGAGGGGAAATGACTTTGTCAAACCGAGATGTCAATTCGTTATTCGCGGGTGTTATTTATTTCTTGTCGGGAAATCTCGTGGAGATGGCATCCGAGAAAGGAAAAGTTGCATCGCGGGGTGGACTCTGGGAGTAATTGCTGATTCGATTTTTGATCGGCGCTCCAGCCTCGGGCCGATCGTTCCTCCCCCACCCTGGAGCAACTCCGTATACGGCGATTTAGCGATTAAAGCACTGAACTGACAATTTACGAGCCTTCTCCCACGGTCGAGAGGTCCGCTGGAAAAGACTCGGCAATTTACGAGTCCTCGGTGGCTGCGAACCTCTCAACCTCGCGGGTCGCGAGCGTCTATTTGTCGAGGCGGCCTTTGTGGAAGTTCTGGCGCCGGTCGAGTCGAAATTTTCTACCGGGAACAGGAAAAATCTGCCCTACCCGAAAACACCGATCCTTCTCTTCCCTGTTTTGCTCCAGTTCCCCTGTACAACGCCCCAAGACGGCGCAAACCATTTCTCAGATCTTCTCCCTTCGGTGCACTCTCAGCGATTATGGGGAGGAGAAAGTTACCGAGATTACCGGGAATATCGGGAAAAGCGTCCTAGGATATTAAAATTATCGGCCAAATCCGGCCGTTTGTCGGCAGAGGTGTCGGTGGATTCCAATCGCGAGCGCGCACACGAGGCACGTGATACCGCCAAACACGTAATGGCATTGTTACGATTCCCCTGGCATTCCCCTTTGGGAGTGGAGCCGCAAGATCGGGAATATCAGATAATTAAATCTCAATCGGGCCGCGGCGAAGTTTGAATATGTATTAATAGATCGATTATTCGGGAAAGTTCTGTCTCGCGATCGGAATCGCTCCTCCTGCTAATCGAAATTCCCCCCTCGCCTCTATCGAATGAATAGGGCCGAATCGAAGTACAGAATTAAACCTGCACGGCAACAAGCCAGTGCGTGATCCAGGTCGGGATTCGAAAGACCCGCCGGTTATTAATGGCCGCCAGGTGGGTGCGGTTATTACGGAGAACCTGTGGGGGAAGTTTAATTGCGAAAGAAACGGGGAGACAAAAAATATCCACGGCGATTCACCCCCACATAACGAGACCTTACCTATGCATGGACACTATTTGCATTCTCATTTCTCATGCTCTCTGGGAAGTTCGCGCACGCGTCCCTGCATGCTGCAACTTCTCTTCGCCGCCCTGGCAACCCATAAAGGGAACAAAATGGAAGGGGACACGGTGCATTCGGAATGAGACCGCGTGGGATTCTTGTTTCTTTCCGCGCTTCGATACTTCTGCGACCGCGTTTCCCCGCGGCTTTTGTTGTTCATGGGCGAATTTGTAACCTTCCCCGGAGATAAACTGGCCAACATCGAACGCTTCTTCGTTGAAAGAATGATAATACATCGGGCAAGTAGCTCTAAGAAAGGTTTAAAACCCATGAAAATCGCTTTCAAGATAAATGTTACATGGTGGACGCGAGTTCCCTAGCAACCGTCGTCAGGATAGCGGCGTCCCTGGCAACGGTAACCAAGGACGCTCTCACGGCAGCAAGAGCAGGACGAATTCTATATCTATTGTAGTTTTCTTATTATAATTCTCCTGAATGTTGTTCTTAACATGGATTATAGTTTCTATGGTACTTGGTAGATCTTCTAAAGTGTTGGTCGAATGGAAGTCACGAAAATTGTCGTTCTGATTAAATATCTTGCAGTATTATCGCTAATAGCGCCAGGCTTACATTCTCGTCGACGATATCGAGCACGTAGCCGTACTCGATGTCGGCGCAGGGTGCAGCTCATGTACAAAGTTCGGCGGTGTCATTAGCGCAGGGCGAGCGTTAACCCTGACAGTGCATCGGCTGACATAATAATAGACGATAACTTGTTTAGTTAGCGCCAATAGGAAGTCGATAACTCCGGAGCCATCTGCGACCTACCTTCCCTGCACCCGCGGTACTCAACTTTACGGCAGTTTCGGTACTCTGGCAGCCCTTGCACGAGGCGTAACCTGTAAGCCGCCCTTTATGCCAGATAATTAAATGTCCATTGTTGTTCTCGAATTTTCGCCCTCGTCAGATACCATCGACAATCGATTCGTCCCAAAATGGCGGTAAAATTCGCTAGATCCCCCGGACTTCTGAGCTTCTCCTCGACCTTGAAGAGGAGGAGGGGCTGCTTGATTAATGGCGCAAAAAGCGGTCGCGAACACGCTTCACTAAGCCGAGTTGTACATCACGGGGGTGGCCATTATGCTTATGAATATAAATGCACCCTTGGCGGTATGCAATAAATGCTTCCAAATGGCGGCCGCGTCCGCTGATCCCCGAAGAGGTGGCGGCTGTTCCTCGGCTTCTTCCGCTTCTCCTTTTCTCTTTACGCGGACTCCTGCCAGGGTGGAGGAATAACTGAAATGAAGTGGGTAGGCCGCGCATAATTTCCCGCGAAAATTGCACCGGCCAAGGGTAATGACGACAAAGGAAATGGAACGTAAAGCGGGCGCGTCCTTGCCGTCCACCCGCGCGAAGAGGGCTGCCGACGATTCCTCGTGGCCGGTACTTTAGAGACAAAAGAAAACAAGGCCCGAGGACTAAACAGGGGAAATAAAGAGGGAATAGGTTCGGGCAAAGAGCTGCGCCTCGCTGACGGAAACAAAGCGACTGGGTGGGCGTTAATTAATTTCTTTCAACCGACCCCGCGTTTGGATCTTCGCCATATTGGATTCGTCTTAAGAAACCGAATGACGAGATGAAGAAAATAATCCTGTACTCCGCGGATCTTAAAAAATCTCTGCAAGAAGTCAAATTACCTCGCCGTCGGGATTTGTCATAATCGTTGAAATATCTTTGTCAGTTGTTCTCCGAGTTGTCTGGATAACGACCGAGACTCAGGACAATCCTCGCTTGCGTCTTAATAATCAACAGGATAAAGTAAAGAAAAAAAGAATACTCGTCTTCCGCGCGAATGTTCGCCCGTGCCGCTCAGCCAGGACATTAAGACCTTTGTGCATGCTCCAGGACATGGCACAAAGGGACAAAGTGCATGGCGTAATGCACTTTCCAGGAGTGCGCACTCGGTACGCGTACACGAGGCCGCCACCTTCCTCAATCCGTATATGGAAACGCGCCCATTCTGGGGTGCTTACTTCGGGGGGGCCAGAAATCAAACTTGGGAAATCCTGAGGGAGGAATAGGGAAACTCGAGGAAATTACAAGGACAGGGAGAATAAACCTCGGAGGACCTACAAATCCCGCAACACTTTGGTATCGTAATTATAAGGACGTGAAATAAGGCCCGCAATCCGGCAAGCTCGAGAGCGAACTCCTAGGGAAATTTTCCGGCTTGAGAGATTTGAGAATGTGTGCGAAAAATGGAGAAAATTTGAGATTTTCCGGAAAACCATCCTTGCTCGGAAGTTTTGGCGATATCCTTAAGGTCCAAAGTTCGAAATGGCGGCCAAAGATAAACCCGGAAATTAGGCGAGGCCAAGGACTCGGTAAAATTCACCAGGCGGTCCGATAAATGTAATTTCACGTGGAGTGCAATTTGAATGAGTTTGTAGCCCGTGTCTCTCGTTTGTTGCAAGTTTGCACCCAGTTCAACAGAGGCGTCTACTCCATGCTGGGAGCCGTCAGCCCGGACTCCTTCGACACCCTCCACTCTTACAGCAACACCTTCCAGATGCCGTTCGTCACGCCGTGGTTTCCGGAGAAGGTAAATCTTTAAAGTACTCTCGAGTGTTTCCCTCCTTCACCGCGGGCACGCCTTACTTTTTAATCCTCCACCGTGGAACAGTGGAAAAGTCTCCGGTGCAAGATGGCCGACTCTCGGGAATCTGGACCAAGACCCTCGGAACTGTAACGCGGGCTTCCGCCTTCTTCCTGCCTGTCATTACCGCCATTACAGTCATTACCGTACCCACAGATAGGAGTCATTCTCCGAGGAAGAATTAATTAGATGAATTTTGTTAAACGAAAGAAGGAATTAAATCACAAGATGATCCTAAGCCCCGCGACGAGGTCTCCGATTCAAAGGTTTCAAGTTCAACGACTCGTTGATTGAATTTTCGTAATTTTCTTTCTTTCTTTGATTCTTTTTTTTTTAAACGTGCCAATTATTTCCTAGAAATATTTCGGAATTTTCGGGAATCTAAGGGAGTTGCAGGGGCTACCGGATGATCTCGTCACGTCCAATGGAACTTGTACGAAATACATAGAGAAGTAGACTCCCCCGCTTGCCGGGATTAAAATCCAAGTCCACTTGGCGTGAATAAAAGTCCGGCCATTGGCCGTGCCACTGGAGCGTCAATCAGCCGCATTTTCGCATTTTCCAATTTACATTTCCGAGCGATTCTCCGCTCGAAATGAATTCCCTCCCTGCCAACGAGCTACCGCCGATTTGTTTGCTCGCGCCGATTCGTTCGCGCTCATATGTACCGGTAATCGATAAGTAGATCCCCTCGTTGAGCCACTTTTAACTGCACAAAGGGCTCGCCGGAAATCGTTTCCGAAGCGCCGGCTAATCCGAAAATCAGGGCATTTCCGTCTGACGGAAATAATCCACCGAAGCCGTACGTCGCGTTTTCCCGATCCGGAAAAAACAAAAAAAAAACTGGTCTCGGTCCATCCATTCGCCTTCGACAATTTTCATTTAATCTCTACAACCCCGTAAAAAAAAAAAATGAAAATAATACCAAGTACATTTTACGCGTCCACTGACGTGTCAGTGAAAATGTCGACGGCAAACTTCCTGTCGCGCTCCGGCGGCCATTTTGGAGAACGCGGAGGAGTCTTGTCGGCGTAAGTGGTTAATTCATTCGAATTTCAGGTACTGACGCCGTCTTCAGGTTCATGGACTTCGCCATATGCATGCCGCCAGATTACCATCCGGAAAAAAAAAACAAAAAAAACTGATCTCGGTCCATCCATTCGCCTTCGACAATTTTCATTTAATCTCCACAACCCCGTAAAAAAAAACAAAAAATGAAAATAAAACCAAGTACATTTTACGCGTTCATTGACATGTTAGTGAAAATGCCGACGAGAGTGGCCGATGGCAAACGTTCTATCGCGCTCCGGCGGCCATTTTGGAGAACGCGGAGAAGTCTTGTCGGCGTAAGTGGTTAATTCATTCGAATTTCAGGTACTGACGCCGTCTTCGGGGTTCCTGGACTTCGCCATAAGCATGCGGCCAGATTACCATCGGGCGATCATCGATACCGTCCGGTATTACGGCTGGAAGAAAATCATCTACCTCTACGACTCCCACGACGGTGAGTCCCTATCGCGCATGCATTTCTCATTTTACAGCTCGGCCGCCATGGCGGACCTCCGAGTCTGCCAAGTCTGCTCGCCACTCGTACTTTTATGTATCCCGGCACCCGAGGGACCGATTCCCTTCCGCCAATATAACCGACGGAGGAAACGAACGGGATCCATATATGCACTCTCTGCCCCTTACCTCGGCCCTGAATTTATGCAAGTGGAGCAAAACTTAAGGGAGGCGAAGTTCATAGTTATGGCAGGTCACGGTTATGATTATTACCGTCGGGTATATATATATATACCTTACCGATATCCCGAGTCGCGGAATTACGGTCGGACTATGACACCGTGGTGCAATGCCGCATTTCCGTGGCAGCCCTCTGTACACTTCGCGACAAGTCGCGAAGTACTCCCCCCTGGGGGGTGGCGGTCTTCGGAAGTGCATCCTTTGATCTCGAAGACTGCATCTCGGGTTTCATTTTAATTATATACCGCGGAGGACTTATCGGGCCGCGATTGATTTCACTGGGGGCTTCGTTAATTCCATTAATTCAGTCAGGTTAGGTTAAATGATCACCGGTCCGTTCTCGAGGTGGGCCCGATCAGCTGATCGGCCGTCACGTGGTCGCGCCGCCGGCGCGGAGGACCTCTCACCTCGCGGATTGAACACCCTCGATTGTTAATTAATTAGTCAGCCCGCCCGACGGGGATCAATACAGTGAAATCAGGGATAATGAACGTTTCATCCTGTGTAGACGAAAGTATGTCGTCCTTGAGGATGTGCACGCGCCCCAATTGTCGGGCCGCGTCCTCCGGGAGGATTTCTTTTTCCATCCCGAGGGAAAGCGAGCGCGATCGCCGGGAATCGATGACCGTAAGAAGAGAGAAAGAGAGGGCGAGGGGGGCAGAGGAGAGAGAGAGAGAGAGACCTGCTCTAATTAACTCGCTAAGAGTGTGCTCATCCCTTCGAGCTCCGCGAATATCGACCGCCATTGGCCGGCTGACTTCGCGAGTGCCAGGATATATTTCGCCTCGGTGTGCACGCGCCTTAATGGGCACCCGCGTTTACGGATAATTCCCCTATAATTAGCCGGAAAAAGGAAACGCGCGGCCTCAGATGGGATCTGTTACAAGGACGGGAGGGTATTTTCGAATTCTGGATTTATCCCCCGGCCTATATTCGGCCCGGGGGTATATTTTTAATATCGACGTTGACGTAGCGATAAAATCCATCGACTCCGGCAAAAGTGCCACCCCTTCCCTCTCCCCGAGTGTTTTTGCATCGAATCTGCATAATTGTCCGGCCATTAGGTCGAAATTGAAATCGAATTCCGGATAAATTGTTTGGCCGGTAAATGTGACCGAGGGGGGGAGGGAGTTTTTTTGAGACCCCGACCCCCCCACGTGGAATTGGTCATTAAATCACGTTTTTTCGCTGGTTTTGACTGGCTGTCCGGGAAAAAAAAAGGAAACAACGGGGGAGATATTAAAAATGACGGGCAGTGTGTCGCTCCACTTTGCGTCCTCTGCATTTCCCCTAATCCTCTTTGTCGAGTCGATTTAAAGTCGAAAAGGTCGCCGAGAGCGACGTATCGATTTAAACCGCGTTCCCAGAATCTCGGAGGGGATTTTCTCAATTTTTCCGGGTTTTTTTTTTTCGGTAACCCTTTTCTCGGGACATTTTCCTACCTTGAAGAGGTGCCTTCTTCGAGGCTCGGGAACCTTCTCGCCGGTTATTTTCCGAGGAACTTTTTCTTACGAAACTGTCCGGCACGTTTGTTGAAACTCTCTGTGTGTGCAACGTTCAGTCGACGTTTCGTAAACATTCGCTTGTTAGCGACAGAAGAGGTATAGGAGTTGCGTTAGATATCGCATACACTCTTAGAAACTCGTATTTCCACTTTAAGTAATTGCTGATAATCGTGGAATGAGCCGATGGTTTGGCATTTCGAAAATGCGATATGACGCGCGACTTGAAGGAACGAGGCAATTTTTATTTTTATTCCTTTTTTTTTTCTCCGGATTAAATGTCAGCTCGATTCCGATTAAAACAGAATCATAAGTGCGTGTGAGAGGAACGTTTCTCGCGTTCGTTTCTGATGCCAAGTGGACGGAAAATCGCGTTTCGCGGGACGTTTCAGATTTCGCCCAGGCACTCCGCGCGTCGCTTAATACGGTTTAAAGCCTTGTTAAAAACAGTTTAATCCAAATACCCGGTGCAGACTGCGTGGAGAGTGATATTTGCGAGTAATTCCTTCCCCCTGCCGAAAAAAAAAAAAAAAATCCCCGAATCATGACATAGCGCCGCACCTGTGACGCCGCGCTAAAAAATCTCCGCGAAATCGCGGATTCGGTCCTGCGGAATGGAAGTATTTTGCAAACGGAAGTGCACCTAGAGTTGGACGCCGCGATTATTCCCCACTTCTCGTCCCGATAATCGAAGATCGATCTCTTTATCCCAATTAATATTCACCGGGAATTTCCATTTCCTGGGATCGTAAAATCGAAGGGGAGCGGCAAACATTCCCGATTTGGGAAAAAGTTTCCGGGGGAAAGAGCTGCGCACTTAGCGTACCATCCACTTTGCAGGGAGGAAGAGAGAGGAGAAAGGGGAAGAGGAGAGACCGGAATACCTATATCGGCGATTCTTCATACCGGAGTCGATCGCCTATAAAGGGGGCCCAAAATGGCGGGCACTTCCTGCCGATGGACCGGGGACCCTGGTCTTCGAAATTAATCTCGGAGGAAAACGGAGAAAAGTGGGGAAGGACGAGGCGAAGCTCTCGATAAGGCGCCTCGCACTTAGTTCGAATTAAAGGAAAGAAGAGGAAGGCAGCAGCGCTGCAACGAGAGCCTCTCTGGGCGAAGTGCATTCAGTGCATTCTCGACTGCAGCTCGCTGGTCGGGATCGATCCTCCTCTCTCCGTCTTCCCTTATCCCGGCATGTTGTCTTTCTCTCTCTCCCCGGCGTGGAATCATCCTGCTTATTACCGTTGGCTAATACCCCGGCCCTACCGGCCCTCTTAGGGCACGAAACACTCGCCTCGCCTATCGCGTCCTTCCTCCAGGAAACTCCTCTCTCGAAGTCCCTCAGAATGCAGAACCCGCGAAATTTAATTGACGGAGCTCCTCCGGCCGAGAATCGCCGGCTCCTCACCGCCTAACCTGAGGAAAAGAAAAAAAGGGACGGGCATTAGGGAATTACGCGGGAGATAATGAAGACCGCAAATGAGGAACGTAAAACTAGGAAGGGCAGCTGCGTCGGTCGATATATCGCCGGGATCCATTAAGGTGGAGTGAAACGCGGCAAGGAACTTGATCGACGTCGGTAAAGAAGATTTTTCTACGTACCTGTGCTATTAACGTTGGTTTTTATATCGACAGCTGTGTCGAATTATACTCGGTTGTGCACTATAAAAGCTCAATCGTTCATAAAACATTTCTACGAGCTGGGTGCCTCAAATCGTTTCATACTTTAAAACGTGAATATGGAGACCCTAAGGTAGGTCCTGAAACTCGCGAAATTTAATTTTTTATAAACTATTTTCAAAATACCTATAAAGAAATTTGAAGAGAATTGAAATTTCATGAGTTTCAGGACCTTCCTTATAGTCTCCCTATTCACGTTGTAAGGTTTTAAACTGGTCGGTAAATCGAGTACGGAGAAAAGCTTTATAAACAAAACCTTTTCGACGCCACTTTCACATCGCCTTATGGGGACTTCCGATCGGATTTTTGAGGGAAACGTTTCTTTCGGGGTGGTTTTTTACATAGGGTTTCTGGGATTGCCGGAAAGTCATGCCGGGTGGGGTGCGGAGGGGGTGTTCGGTCAATCGACGAGGAGGGAAGTTCGGCGAGAGTCTAGAATGGGCGAGGAAGTCGTCGCTTCTCGTGGAAATGAGACGGAGGGGCTCCGGGCGTAGGAGGGGTTTAATTACCGAATGCAAATGCAAATATACCGCGCGGAGGGAATCTCGAGATTGTCGTCGCGGGCCGACCATTTCCTGACGAACGACGAAGACAGAGCGACACCGGAAGATGGAGGGCGTTTTAAAGGGAATCCCGAATGGAGCCTTGGATCCAATTTGGTCGCCGACTGGCGAATGAGAATACTTGGAAATATCGCCATATAATATATATCCCCTGTGTCCCAACATCGGATATATCCTTATCTTACTATCATCGAAGAAGGACCTCTCCCTCCCTCGTGGGAGATGACTTTCCTACCCTCCCTCTCAGTATTCAGATTCCTCGTTTCCTCCTTTCTTCTTCACCCGCGAAGGATTTCCTCAGAACTTTCTCCTCCACCAAAGGGACTAGTTACCCATCGATAAGAAAATTGGAATCTAATTGCGAATTGTTACGACGCTGGCATCGATCTAACCCGTTACGACCCCCTAGTACCATAGAATAATTTCTAAATATTTCTTTATAATCTTTGCTAAATATCTGAAGCGACAGATTTTTCAAGATTTCTTGTAGATCTCATTCGAAGAACTCTGAAATATTTCTTGAAAATCTCAATGACATATTTAGTTTTTCAATAATTTATAAATATGTACGGAAATTATATTTTTTAATTTACGAACGTGTAATAAGAATACATTTTTTACTTCACGATTGTTATCGGACACTTCATTTGGTATCGAAAAACGCGAGAAATTCGTCTAATACTTCCGTTCCGCTGTTTTATTATGGGAGCAAAACGTGTGATTTTGACTTTCAATATTTTTAAAACGTTTATAATGTTTTCGGCAGATAATATTTAAAAAAAGAAAAATATTATGAAAACACACGGAGGTAATATTATATAAATATTATAGGGATAATATTCTAAAGTAAATGTTTTAAAAATATTTCAAATGTCTGGTGAATATTTACAAAATGTACGATATTCGTTAATTATGTAGAAAATATTGGAGAAATATTTTCTGCTACTAGGGGACGCATCGAGTCGTTCGAGTTTCCGATGATACAAAAATGTCAACGTCCCCCATTTTCAGCTGCA